AATTTTTTTCTTTTTTTTTTTTTTTTTTTTTTATTAAGTTTCTAAAAAATCATTTTACGACAATACACAGAACAAACTATAACGAAGTCAATGTTTCGATTATCTTTCGAGACACATGATGTATCGGCTTAATGTATCATCGAACACATTGCCTACCTTACATATGAAAAATACATCATTGTTTAAGAACACACACAAATCTATCTGTAATCCCAACTTTTCCTTAGTATTTATCAACACGTTCAGCACACAATATACAAGTAACATACACTTTGTTTGCATGTAATCACCAAACTCCTCCGACACGTGTAGGATACACGTAGATTATACATTAGAATCGGATGGATCTTCGATATCGAACAGAAATCTTTTCTCGCTGCAATAGCGATCAAGTACCTCCTCCTTCTTAACAGACATTCAATCACGAAATACTTTTTAAAAGAAGCAAGATCAAATAAACACCACAAATTAAAGAACACACAGTTACAGAGAAATATATAATTTTCGAGGGGATAGAAAGGGGGAGAGAAAAAAAAATATATAAAAGATAAAAAAATCCTCAGAAAATCGGAGAATGAGAGAGAAATCTATGAGGAAATGAAAGAATGGCAGAGACATAAAGGTATCCAGTGGTCGTCGAATCCTGCGGCTGTCATCGGTACGTGACCACAAGCGCACGTCCATAGTTCCTCAGCATCGAAAATTTTTAACATTTGTATCTACATCCCTGCTGAAGATTACACCTTTACGCTGAACTTCAGATGTCGTGCACTGTGTTTATATATTTTTTATGATCGTGGCAATGATGGCATAGATCTCGACCATCGTTTCCAGCGATTCGTTTTATCGGTAGTGTAATTATAATATCATGAATTAATGAAATAAGTATATAAAAAGAATAATAGAATGATTGAAGCGATTCGGCTCTGCACGAGTCACGAAGGCTATTTATTCCACGCGACACCTGCTCGTTCTCAGCCGAATGCAAATTTCACTTTTTTTTTTTTTTTTTTTCATCTTCCAGCTCGAACGATGCTAACCAAAATAACCGCTTTTTTTTACGCCTAAATCCACTGTTCTTCGAAGTCTATGGAATACCAAAATCTATGGTAGTGCAGAGAAATTTGCTGAGCTCAATGCATGGCTTGATTTTTTTTTTTTTTTTTTTTTTTCTCCTTGAAATTAACGAGATTTAAGCATTGAAGCTGAATTTACAATCTGTCTCTCAGGAACAAAACGAATCCATCGGATATGGTCCATCAGGTAATATACAAATCTCATTGGCGAATGGCAACATTATGAAAATTCCAATGGCGAGCATCAATATCAGCGAAGAAGTGAATAAGACAGGGATTTGGCAACAAGTAAATGAAGGCAACGAGAAAATGAAACAAGTCAAATTGATCAAGTACGTTTACCTGATTTAGCTGAAGTAATCCATTACCATTCAGTGGTTTAATGTGACATTGATAAATTGATTCGAATCTAGCGCGGGAAAGCAAAAAAAGCACTCGAAGAAAGATAACTTGTTGATGGCCGACGAGACTACGAGGCTGACTACGATGACCGAAGAGGATGAAGATGACAGTGGGATCTCTATCAAGGTGACAAACGTAAATGACTCTAAATTCTAGCCACCACCACCATCACCAAACCGATAAATCACATGGCAAGTCACACAGCAAGAGCACCAATACACCGGCATGCAACATACCCCCATGTACGCTACTGTGTGAGTAAGAGTATAAAAGGGGGCTGCACGGAACCCTCGAACGGAGTCGTCTTTTAGATATAGATTTTTTCTTAGGAGCCATGACGATTCCGATAGAAAAGAAGATCTATTTTCGGATCCACTTTCGATTGTATTATGCGTTGCATAATTAAGTTGCAGCATGCAATATTCGTCAATAAGTATCAAAATAAGAAGCAGCAGAAAAGATTTCGATGAATCTGTGATCTCGGTTCTCTACATATATTAATATTACAATATTTTAATTTTAACTTTCACTTTGCACTTTGCGATCTTTATCGTTGCATCGTAGATTAATTCTATTATTTGCATGAAAAAACTTTTGTACGAAAAAACGATATTATTTGTTGCGATAATGTAATCTGCGTGTAACATAGTTTTGATATAATAACATATGCTTAAATTCAATTTTTAAACGAATATTTGCCATCACGGTTCATTCGATGCTCCGCTAAATTTCAAAAAATTTTTAATGATTTTCATGTACGTTAAATGCTTGTTTAAAACGATTGGCTTGTCTTTGATGCGTTTCGGCAAATTATGCGAAATATTTGGTTTGATCGTTTCAGGTAGACTTGATACGATCGAAGGAAAGCATCAGCCCGTTAACGATTAACGGCACTACTTCGGCCGAGACTTCTGTTTAACGAAAACAACGCTACACTGGGAACGATTCGCGAGATCGTTTTTAATCGTTAAAATATCCCGAAGATTCCATTACGAATTAATAGATACAATATGTTTTAATTTTTATCGTACGCGTTATTGCCAGCCAAGATACAAACACAATTATGGTGAATCGTTGAAAGAAAATTATTACGAGAACAATAACCAAGTTGAAGCATATGGAACACTTTGATACTATATGAAAGTTTAAACAGCGATAAAAATAAGTGAAAAATAATTTTTTTTTTGTTTTTACAGAGAATAAAATCGCATGCGAGACTATCTTATCTCATTGCATTTGTAATTTGATCGAGTGCAATTAATGAGTGCCACTGACATATATCTAGATTGTAACTAACATGAACGTATTTTATTCATATAAAAAAAAGAAAAAAGAAAAAAAAAAGAAGAAAATGAAGAAACGCACATGATTAAAATTTAAAATAAAATGTTTTAGCTTTAAGATTCGATTCACTGATAATTTGATGCGTGAATTGTCATTTATTGAATCATGAATTTATTGGTGAAAATATTCTTGTCAGTGTGCAATAACGTGTAATTTGTAATTTAACGATTATATGAATTAAAGATAGTTCGTGCCCATGATAACTATGCCAAGAAAACCCCTTTGATATATCGACGTTTCCTTCGAGGGATGTCTCGTAGAGAAGCTTGGCCGAAATGCAATATGTCCTCGATCATAAAAAAAAAAGTCGAAAGATAGATAAAATTCATCCTCGACGAATAAATTATGCAATATTAATAACTTTTTTTTAACTCGATTGGTTTTTATGCAAATTCTTAAAGAGTATTTTTTGAAAATTTTCGATATACGTATAATACCGGCCAATAGCGACAATATCAATATTATTTAATAGAATAAATGTACATCTTTTTTACTAATGAAAATTCGGGAAGAATTAATAGAGAGAACCATTTTTCATATTTTTTATCAAAATTTTAGCACGACTGAATTTTTCCATGTCCATAACGCCGTCCCTTGAAGGATGTCCTTTTTTTCAAGAAAGGGAAACGAACAATGAGATTTTTATCATACTGCAGTCTTTCACATAGTAAGTGTAACGATCTTGATTTTTAAAAATTTAAATAAAAATTTATGCGGATCGTTGCACGAATAAGTTGTCATTTTTCTTCTTCGATTTTCGACCCGATCGATGGAAGCGAGACGATTAGTGTGAGAAGATTAAAAGAGAATATTTAATACGATATTTTTCAAATGACACGTTATCAAATTATTATACACGTTAAATTTCCAAGGCTTTACAAATATAGTCGAAAATTGCGTGATAAATCGATAAATGAAGAACGATTGAATTCTTTGTATTTCGTGAAAAAAACGTTGTAAATTAAATGACATAAGAATGATAAGGGGCATTAATAAGCCTCATCCTCATACAACATATATTGGAACATTTCCATTGATATAATTACAACAAAGTACGAAACAAGGCAATCGTTCGTGTTGATGTTACGTGTGTTTGTATATATTTAAGAAAAAAAATCATCTGCAGTTCTGTATACGCTCGCAATGGGAAAGAAGTCATTAATTGGAGCTATACGCGAACTTTTCTGATGATGATTTAAGAAATATGTTCGTTAAATCGCTGCTTAAGTATTAACTGGTTGTGATTAGATTTTCCACTGAGAAAGACCGTTATTTACGCCTTTTGTTTTAAAGATACACCAAAAAAAACACCATTTTGTATATCATGTGCGAGATAAATGAAATGTATCTTCTTTAAAAGATACATGTAAAAAATTAATAAAATGATGAAGAGATGTGAAACGATATTCTGCTAGATAATATATTAATTGCATATAGTAACGTTTAATTTGCATATTTTATAAAAATCGCAAACATGTTTACTGCGTCTTTTTTATAAAAATATCGTAAGTGTATATTGTGCATTATTTAGAAGATCTAGTCCAGCATAATCACAATGGAATACCAAAGATTTTTCAAAAATAATGATGATCGATCGAAGTTGAAAGCATAGAAATATAAATTTAAGCATAGTAATCATATAGCATCAAATATATAGGTTTTATTACCAATTTGTTTTGTATATATATATATATATATATATATATATATTAAAGTTCATCATTCTCGATATCATTTTATCATGAATAGAAAAGTATGTAATGAATAATTTTGTTAATAATTAAGCAGTATGTACTTGGATATATAAAGGATAAACAAATTGCACACAATTGTGATTGATTATTGGTGTGCAAACACATACAAGCGAGAAGACTCATTGCGAGCAACAATGTATATAATCAGCTGCAATCATATAATTCGCTGCCATGCATGCAATCGATGTATTAGTCCTCTTTAACGGAATTGCTGATAAATTCTGATTAAAAAAAAAAAAAAAAAAAAAAAAAAAAAAAAAAGAAAAGAAAAAAAAAGAAGTACAGTATTGATTATCAATAAAATTCATTTCTCTCAATTTATCTTTATTTTACATATTTAATGTTTTTATATTTATCTATAAACGTTTTTGGATAAAACGGAGAAATGAATTCTTATACATGTCCCTATAAATTTCCTATGTATCCTCTCTTCTCATCTTATTTCTAAGTATCAAAAATCGAAACAGTATTCAATTTGTAACATAACTGTGTTTTATAATGTGCGTTGCGTGCAATTACAGAATTTAGCATTTTCACTCGAAGTTTCCATTTGAAATTGAACCAAAATCACCATATACGTGGTTACTGTATTAATCATCTAACAATAAAAAATATCAAATGATGTATATTCGCCGCATTCAAACAAAATTTATAATAATTGGCCAGTTTTTGCTCACCGAATGAAAAAGAGTATTATCTAATGTGAAGTATCCATTCGCTGTAAACTTCACTTTTTGATGTAACAATTGAAGTGAAAATTGTTCGAGCTAGAAGATGTACATAATATTAAACAACGAAATCGTTAAGACGATCGAATTTGTAAATATCATTTTACCTCTATTTTTGTTTCTCGATCGATCGTATAATTTAACAATACATGTATAATATATCCAGTTTTTTCGATCTGCAAAAAAATGCAATTAAATTTTCAGAATAATTATTTTCAAAAAAAAAAAAAAAAAAAAAAAAAATTTAAATCTCCCTACCTCATTTATTACTTTGGTTACTTTCGAAGTTAGCAAAGCAAGAAGAGACAATGGCAATATTATCCAAATTATGGAATTTGTAATAAGTAAAAAATTGAACCCACCGTTAAAAAGTAAAAAAAGATAATAAGAGTTGAATAATATTAACAAAAAAATAAAAAAGAGTGCTATGAGAATAGAAAAAGAATAAAAGTCTGAAACTTCTCTGGAAATATCGCAAAGATGATCGTAAATGTCTCGAATTTGAATAAAAAGATGAATTCTTGAATAACTCATGAACACACATCGAGTCTGATTCAAAATTTTTAAATTTATATCATCGTATTTACTTCGACAAAAGCTTTGTATAATGCAATTTAATTTTACAAAAATTGCATATATTAAATTAAGCACAAAAAAATATTGAATGAAAAGCAAAGCTACAAAGATCAAAGGTATAATATTTCCAATTAGTTCTATTGGTTCAGGATTGAAACTTTTGATTTCAGTAATCAAGAGAATGATAAATAAGATTAACATAAATAAACAGATGAGAAATAAAACATTAAAAATGTTTTTTCGATTTAATGGTTGTTGCAAGTGACGCAACACATTCTCAATATTAATTAAATAATTTCCAATTTTTACGATAACTGATTGAAATATACAATAAAATAATAAAGTTGAAATCATAACAAAAGAGCCTAATATTATTATGAAAATTTCTATGATATTTGTAACAATTGTTTTGTGAATATAATTTGAACGGAGTATAAGTGGTATCGAGTAGAAACACAATACGATTATTAGACAGCTGCCAAACAAGTTGTAAAGTATTCCCAGTTTAGAACTGATAAAAAACATGGTATTTTTTGAGTTCTTCTTGTTTAAATTTTTCTGATTATTTAAAGAAAATGTGGCAAGACCGACAAATTTGAAGAAAAAAAAGAATAGCAAAGTCAACCGATGCATATTTCGAGACCAATATGATTTATCTACCATTTTTTATGTTCGAAAAAAATGATGTATGTACTATTAAAAATATATATTCTCACTTATATTTAAATATAGAAGAAAATTTATAGACAATACACTTTTTCTTCTTCTCATTCGTATGTAACTATCAAATATCACTTTTTTTTAATTTCGTTATTTTTATTTTTTGATATTTTCATTTTTTTAAAAAACGGTTGTTGCATTTCTAATAACGTAACGCACAAATGCAACAATTTTATGATTTACGGTTTATTTTATAGTAGCGTATTTGAAAAACAACATTAAATATTAAATTATATTAAAAGTACATGCAATTACTTTGCATGCAACAAAATTTATATGATATTTATTACTAATATCACAAGCGATCGATGCTAATAAAATCAGAGATAAGAAAAAAATTATAATAGATATAAAATACAAAGAAACTTGTAAAACTTTAAAAGAGTCATCAAAATCTACAGAAAGTTTTTTATTCAAAATATTTGTTTTTTTAACATTTTAAAAGAAACATTTATCTTTTCAGCAATCATAATATTTATGTAATATATAACATATCAGTTATTATCAGTTTATTTTCTAAAGGATACGCAATAAATTTTAACATAATTATTAAAAAAATAATTAATCAACTAAAAATAGCATAAAACTCTAAACAGAAAATATTTATTTACCTTTTTTGTTTTCAATGCACTTCAAAGGCATTTCTTCGAATTAACTTAAAAAAATGTAAAAAAAACTTAAATGTAAATAATGTAATAAGTAAATAAGTGTAACAATGGTTTTTCTGATTATTCGACGAAAAAAATACATTAATTTGTTTTTATTAACAATATTACTTTTACAGCATCTTTTTTTCGACAAACGTTTACAAAAGTACATTTATATTAAGATACTGATAAATACTGTACTTAATTTAAATAAAACGAACCGATAAATGTGTGCGAGGTTAAACAATTATTGTGCTATTACGAAAAGTACTGGATGCAAATAAATATGTTTATTTATAATTTTTTGACCGTATAAAAGAGATAATATAATTTACATTACATTGTAATTTTATAACAATAAGCTATACGAGTTCAAAAATTTCTGTCCTAAAAAATTTTATTTAGGACAAATATTTATTCGCTTCAAATTACATATAAGTTATTATAAAAGTCTTTTATGTGTTTTTTTTTTTTAAGTGTTTAGAAATTATCATTTTTCTAATTTGTACAATCCAGTAACAGTAGCAGCTTTATGAACACGTTTGAATTTTAAAAAAAAATCCTTATCTGAGATTCAAAAATATTTTATACAAATAATAAACGATATATTTTTATTTTTATTTTTATTTGAATGATATTCAATTATGCCTTTAAAGTGCTATGAAAACACTTGATTGAAAATGCAAAACGTTAATTTCAATAACTTATTGAAAATTTGCATTGAAATCAACCAATTATATGATTATTATTGACCTCTACAGTATGTCACGTTTCTAACTTTTACATATAGAGGAGTATTGCAATTTTTCTTTTTTATATGTACATTGGTATTTGATGTTACTTAAGTAGATAAATTTAGTATGGTGTTAAACAACAAAGACATCTATATATTTTTCAGAAATATTTTTTTCTTTTTTGGTATTGCCTTAATGACGCAAAAAAAATTGTAATTATTAAAGAAACATGTTATTGAATAGAGTAAATAATTAATGACATCTACTCTAAATCTTAGGTACTATATAATTAAACAATCTTCTTAACATTTTTAACAGAGTACAGAGTACAGACTGTTCATTCATATAATAATGGGTTTCCTAGTTACAGATATTACAAGAAAGATGAGTTATGATAATGAGAAAATTTACTAGAGAACCCATAAAATAAAATGTAGTGTCAAAATTGATCCAAAAGTGATATTCAAGTGCAAAAAAAGTGAATTCTTTTTCGACTTTAAGACACTCATGTAATGTACTATATTAGTACAAAAAAAAGTAAGTATGATTTTCACATTATCAGATACAAAAAGTCACTATGTTACTTGGCCTCTGACTCTTTTGGAGTCTCGCTCCTTGTAGGCACTTCCAATTTAACTACCGTAGGTGCATCTGTATTTAGTCGACTACCGCTTTCATCTGCAGGCAAATCTTCTGATATGGTTGCATCTATAAGTATTATTTATTATATTTTGCATGAAAAAAAAAAAATATATATATATATAATACATAGTTATATATATATTTAGTATACTTTACTTAACATATTGTTTATAATATGTTATAAAATAATATATAATATAAAATAATATATAATATAAAATAATACTTTTGTATATTTATTTATGTTAATAAGATATATATATTTTTTACAAATTACATATAGGTAAAATTTTTAATTCATTTATAATAAACTAAATTAATAATCAATGTGTTATAAATTTTTACCTGGACAAGCAGGATCAGACATTAAAGAGAATACTTTTTCTTCAGGCATATCCTTCGTCAATTCTTTGAAATGAACCACCTGATCCGAAAATGATTGCCAAAATGACTGCCCTTCAGGTATAGTAAACATAGCCTAAAAGAAAATGATAATATATTTATTTATTTTAGCTTGCAATTATATAAAAATAAATTTTATTAGAAAATCTTATATCAAATATATTAGGCATGTATATGTATAAATCATATATATATAAATTTAATATATATAAATTAACATAAAGATTAAATTAATTTAATCTTACTTTAAACTTGTTGTATATATGCTCAGACTTTTGTCTAATTTGTTCCGCTTTTTGTTTGAAAATTGCCTATAAATAAAATTTA